AGACCAGGTCTGTCACAGACTACCTGACTATACAGCAAGGAACCAGATCTGCCAACTGGACTGTTCAACCTGTGATGCACATCAGCCGCCACCCTCATCTCTCGATTGGCCTGGGGTGGCTGATACCCCAGAGAACCTCTCCCATGCATGCCAACAGCTCTTACCTTGGAGGAGTCTTTTCTGTCCCGTTCCGTACGCCTTGGAGCCCGCGGACAATCCGGAAAGTTAGCTTTGTGAGGTCCATTGCAGTTAGCACACTTGGGGGCTCTACTTGTGCATGTGCTATAGTGATGTTCTCCAGAGCAGACGAGGCATCTCATCTTGGACGTGCATCCACTTGCAGAATGCCCCAATCTTTGGCAGTTATAGCACTGCGGTGGGGAGAATTCATAGGCACGAACTGAATAGGATAGGTAGCCAATCTTGATTCTTTTTGGCAGATTATGTCCCTCAAACACAACACGAACTGAGGTAGATGGTACTCTTTCCCCTTCCACTATTCTGCTTAGCCTCTCTAACTTCACAAGTTTACTTGTACCACAAGTATCTACTCTCCTTTCAAGAGTGCTAACATCAGATTGAATGTCAATAGGACCAATGACTCCATATGTAAATTTACCCCTATTAGGCTGGGTACATGTCACTGGCCAATTACCTAGTTGAGTCAACTGCAGCAATGAATTGATAGTTGCTTCATCAAATTCTTCTAGTTCAACAGCAACGACTCCTTTACGACGGTTCACTCTAATATCTGCGATATTCAGGGCTTTGAATGGTGGTGCTTCAAAAGCTAGGCATAGCTGTTCAGGAGAAGTCAACATCTTTTTTGCATCTTCATTTGCTGGTCGGATAAGTATTACTCTAATGTTGGCATCATCTGCTTTGTTTCCATTTTCCTGGGTGCAAGTTTGATCTTCCTGATTTACAGTTTTTTCAGCTGGTTTAGAATACCTTCTCTGAATATTTGGGCGCTTGTGTAAGCTGCTCCCATTGGGCAAACTTTGGTCACTTCCCTCACTAGAATGCGTGGGGCCTTTGCGTTTCCTTCCAGTTCCAGCATTGCATAGTAATGATGAGCTCTTTGTTGCTCGAGTTGAATCATCAGTAATTGTGAACTCTTCCTCACAGAATTGTTGGATTTGGGAATCCGTTGGCATTTGTTCTTCTGGAGGCTTTTCAGCCCGCGCTCCAGGGTCTATAAGGTCAGCCGAGTCGGAATTTCCAGCCATATTACTAGGCTGAAGTTTAAACTTAAGCGTTTGACAAAAAAGTAGGAATGCAAAGGTTACGTCTCACTTCCACCACCGTCCAAACGACACTCTTTTACCTGCTTCATTAGGTGCTTTATAATTTGTTCTTATTCCTTAACTTAATTGGAAAACTGACTGCGGAATTGGCCGTGGAATTCACCTTGTGATGACTGTTTCTTGAATTTGACGGCAATTTCTTATGATGAATTTAATAGTAATAAATAATAATAGCGGTTTCAGCGTTTATTAGGCCATAGGCCTGTCGCCGATTCTTAACGTGGAAGAATATTCACAGCTTGTTGCGGTCTTAAACTCGCAACTCACTGCTACAATTCTGCTTTGCTCAACCGCCCGGCCTCCTCGCCGATTCTGACCAGAAACTGGCGCACAGAGCTGGGATCGAACCCACGCCTCTCTGCGTCAATCTTGGTACCCTGAACTGAAACCACTTTTGGTGGCCGCGTCATGAATTTGACTGCAATTTCTTATGATGAATTTAAGATCATTGAAGGATTTATGAGCTTCAGAAGGATCTTAAAGTATCACATTTACCCAAACTTGTACCAACAGAAGTGCACGTAGGAAGTTTTTTGCCACTTCGTTGCCTGAGTGTACTAGCAGGTAGAGTGTACTGAGCAATACAATCGCTGCCTTTATCTCTTTATTTTATTGTCCCTTACGGGCGCGGGGTCTGGGACCCCACGTGCGCGGGGTCTGGGACCCCCACGTGCACGGGGTCTGGGACCCCACGTGCTCGGGGTCTGGGACCCCCACGTGCACGGGTTCTGGGACCCCACGTGCGCGGTGCCTGGGACCCACACGTGCACGGGGTCTGGGACCCCACGTGCTCGGGGTCTGGGACCCCCACGTGCACGGGGTCTGGGACCCCACGTGCGCGGTGCCTGGGACCCCCACCTGCACGGGGTCTGGGACCCCGGCGTGCGCGGTGCCTGGGACCCCCACGTGCACAGAGTCCGGGACACCCACGTGCTCGGAGTCTGGGACACCCACGTGCACGGGGTCTGGGGCCCCCACGTGCGCGGTGCCTGGTTTTGTTTGTGTGTTTTTAGACCTGAAGCAGGGACGAGGATATGGAAGTGAAGTTGTAGTCACTGTAAGCGAGTGTGAAGCGTCTTTGTAATGTGGGACGTCGCTCTAGGGTGTTCGTCAATCAGTTTACACCTTGCAGTCGTGAAATGCTAAGCCCCTTACGGACCTGATACAAGTCCAGCAGATATTTCCACGGGCCTATATCTTCAGCGCCGTAACCACAATACTATACTACTCTTATCTCCACAAATACTACAACATAGTTCACCTCAAAAACGTGGTGTGTTTTTACAAGCCTCGCTCGGCGCGCTATACCCGCCCAAGCCTCAGTCTGCTCCGTGTTGACATTTTGCGAGCATCGGTGCTACTCTTCCCTTCTCCAGCCTCGATTAACCTCTTAGTGATAAGTAATTTTAGTTTTAAGCGTCTTTATCTATTTGCATTATTTATGTGTCAACCCTAGACAATCAGCGTGGCCAACCATTAGTTATATAATGCAAAATCTAGAGATTCATAGGTAAAGCGACTATTTCTATGCTGATCATATAGATGCCACTACTCGGTGGTTATTATACACAATGGCTTCCTAACCCTCACCGCTACCTTACGAATGTCTAGCCATATTTCATGATGTCTCCCTGTTAAACGAGAATTGTGTATATTAAGAATGGCATGCCCTTTAGGGTGAGATCTAAAAACACCTCATGGTTTTGATCGATGTTTATGTATGATACCTCATTATTAAAACCGGGTACTTTTCGAATTGTTTCTTGATACTTTATACGTTAGAATGTGATGACGTCAACGTAGTGATTGCAGCAATTTATTTGCAATGCAATGCTTCAAGAAAACTATCAAGATATTGCCAGCCTCCACTCGTAGACCTGGTATAAATTCGCACAAACCCCAATATATTTGATACTTATTGATGCTTTTACGAAATGCACGGCCATCAATATCAACTGTTCATGTTTACCAACCATTGACGCTAATTCCTGCAAGTTTAGTCACGAAGTCGCCAAAATCTTATTAGTCTCCAATGCTGCCCAATTAAAACTTTTATTAGTGTAATAATCACCTCATCCCATGGTTCAATTCCTCGTTGATGAACCACCACATCCATGTCATAAAGTGTTATATTATCATTTGCAGTGAATTGTTGATGAATTTCCCCATATCATAACTTAGCATTCAATGTCTTCAATAGATTGAAGGACATATGCGATGACTGTCTGAAATCAGACCAAATTAAGATAAAACCCAAACAATATGGTGCACGAACCCCAATTTATACTATTTTCGAAATTGCAATCGATATGTACTGCATAGGTAAAAATTAGTATACTCATGTTTCCAACATTCCGGAAACGCTAAATTCTCCGTATTATATCACGGATCATTTGTTCGCCACGGCTGCGCTCCTCTCCGCAGTCGGAGAGAGTCGGCTCAGCCTCGGCTGCATTCATTGATTGAACATCTATTGCGGTTCGTCCTTGATTGTGTAAAGTTTACCTGCAAATAATCATTTAAAAATCTCTCATAATTTAATTATACTTCTGGGTATACAGTGTATAGTGACGTGTACGGTGTATAGACCTTTACCAAATAACAATACCGTATTCGGAATAGTACCATGAGAAATGATCCAATCTATGTAGTAGTTAGTACGTATGTAGCATAATGCAAGTTAAGAAATCATACATCTAAAAATTACTGAAAAAGTGTGAAAAGTGAGATGTATGAAGCTTCCAAGCCTCCATTATTGACGTCTGCGTGGGGACCTCATTGAAGTATACAAATATACTCATGGCTTATACAAGGTCCCAGAAGGATTACTAGAATTTAAAACAAGAACCAACACCAGGGGCCACGGCTATAAACTAAAAAAACAGCGTTGGAACACATCCATGCGACAACATTTCTTCTCGCTTTGAGTCACCGACATGTGGAACAGCCTCCCTGATAGCATCGTTGAAGCTCCGAGTATGAACATCTTCAAAAACAGACTAGACGAAGCTATGCAGGAGCATATGTTCAGTCTTAAAATGCCTAGCAAATTACGGAGCAGGCAATAAGTCCAGCAGCTATCTCAATCAATCGTCAGTTATGGAAAGATCGGGTTCCAAAGGCCGGATCCCTTGTGAATCAAGTCATGAAAAGTTCAAGAATCGGCAACAGGCCATGGGCCTATGTCTTCAACGCCGACACTTCTATTCTATAAAAAGTACCTCTGCTCAGGTCTCTAGCAAAAAAATATTTTTTGCAGTATTAATTTCACGATTAAATTTCACTTATAAAAAAAGTTGCACACAGCCTCACAGGTGCTGTCTTGAAAACATTATTGATGAAATTTGCATAGCTCAATCCAAAAAATGGAAATGGTGGCCATTCTGCAAGATGGGGTAATAAGAGACACCACCCAGCCCCAGCGGGGCCCAGCCTAATCACTGTAATGAGGAACAACCCTAAAAATGCTAAGTTAGGAAATCATATATTCCCGCAAAAAATGTAAACAACATTTTTTTGATTGCGTAGTTTTGGTCGCATTAGAGCGGTCAGACTGCTTTATTACTTGTTCAGTTGACACTTGCTGTACAACCGGACTGTTTTGTAATATTAGTTATTTGGGGTAACACGTGCATGCAACCTTGTAATAAGTTCGTGGCTTGTAAATAGTTTGTCATTACTCAGCGTAAATGGCTTTTCATTAAAAATTACCCGGCGACGCATCTTTAAAATGGCCGGCGACGCTTTGGGCTTAAAAATCCATATATTGCTGACGCTGCATTCACCCTCTGCATAGTGAGGAACAACCCTAAAAATGCTAAGTTAGGAAATCATATATTCACTACCTTTAAAAAATCCCTGAAAAAAGTGTGAAAAGTGCAGTTTTGGGAAAGTAGGTTATAGGTAGGGTAAATGCGGTATATTCCGACATCGTAGGTAATTCCGTCACCTCTCTAGTTTTTCCTTTATATTAAGCTTTGTTTTAGTTCCATGCTTTTGTTGATGGTTGAAATGGTGACGTCATACATTTGCGCGTCGAAACATTGCAAAAACACTAGGTCTTGGCCATCTAGTGGGAAAATATTGAGATCCAAAGAGAGACAATGCATGCCACCTGGCCAGACTGGAATAATGGGCAGGAGCCACCCGTAGAAGAGCAAAAATCACCCGTGAACGTGGAACAATTTTACCCGTGGCCATGGATAATTTCAGCTGGTGGCCAATGGCCATGGATAATTTCACCCGTGGGCATGAATAAATTTAACCGTGCCCGTAGAGCTACAATTTCAACAGTAATGGCCAAAAGCCCTTAAAAAGCACATCACCAGAAATAATTGATTACATGTAAGGCTGTGCTGAATTCGTCGTACCTTCTTTCACAGATAAAGTCACGCAGCACTTGCAAGAATCTGTTGCCTTCATGGCGGGCGGTCTCTCTCATACCGGTAAGGAAAATTGGGCAAAAACCACCCGTGGCTGAGCAAAAACATCTGTGCACGTGGAAAAATTTCACCCGTGCAGATGGTACAATTTTATCCATGCACATGAGACAATCTCACCCGTATTTTTAGCCTTTCCACCCACACCCGTAGGGCCGTAGCGCACGCGCGTTACAAGGATTTCACCCGTAATGACCATAAGCGAAGTATGTCACCAGAAATAACTAATTAAACGCAAGCCAGCTTAGCCAGGCATAACCAGAACTGAAAAACAGTTATATATTATGGCTATTGTAATAATTGTTTCAAATACCTAGTGACTGGATAGTTCATGGCTCACCTATACTAAGTGGACACGCAGTCCGAATTCCGGAAAATTGTGCCGCCGGCAGTCTGTCCGCGCCATTTCATAATGAGCTGACAAGTGAAGAACGCTTTAATAATGGATTCAAATGGATTATGAGCGAATTCACACAACCTTTGAGATAGCTGTATGATGATAGTTCAGACAGCCCATTATAGTCAAATGGGGTAAGACAGGATCGCAGCCTTCATGGGGTAA